CACATAAAATGCCATCCCCATGGAAATAAATTGTTATGATGGGTGTTTCATGATGACCTTGGTCACATCACACGCTAAGATGGATGTTGGGCTTTCTACAGTATCATGAACATATCCTATCGTGCAATGAACAATAATTACCAATTTTCCCTAGTCCAGTATATGGTGGAACTCAATTCCCCTGAATTTACAACTTTCTCAGTCTACCTATTTCAACCAAGTTGAGTTCTGTTGACTTCAGCCAGTCAGCTGGGAAGGTGATCTTTCACTTCTGAATCTCCGTATTAGGCATCCTATAGGTTACTCGTGAACAAGGGTGTGTGTTAAAGGGCGTGTTGTGTGTATCTTTGGATGCAAAAATAAGGGTTGTTCCATCCACTTAGGAAGAGAGACAAGCTTGATTTGCAGTTTAATGTATGCAGTCAAGGACAGACATCCTGCTATGTAGCTGTTACACTGAAGCTTGTTTGAACAGCAACAAGGAAAAAACCGAAGAAGGAGCTTCTGTGCAATTCAAAACATATTTTATTTACTAACCTGATCTTTTGCCAAATGCTTCACCTTTATCTTTCACAGATTTCAAAGTAAATGAGTTTCCTGCAGCCTTCCTTTGTTTGAACAATCTGTCTGGGTGTGCATAGGAAGAGGAACAAGGATTTCCCCCTTTCTTAAAAAAAGTTTGCTTTATTATATTATGCTATCCATTATACAGCCTTTGCATTAAATCAGAAGAGGTGGAAGGGCCTCTTAAGTCAACCTCATGATGCAGGAATTCAAATTAAAACGTATCTAATGGATGGCTATCCAGATTCTGATCAAACCTTTCCTGTGAAGGAGATTCCATAATCTTTCTGAGGAATGGGTTCCATATGATTTGTCTCTGCCAACAATCAATCAGAATATGCTTTCCTAAGATCCACTCTTCTGTTCTTCATATTAGAATAGGGGTAAGCAACCTTGGCTTTTATGACTTGTGGATTTCAACTCCCAGAATTCCTGAGCCAGCATGGCTTAGCTTGGAAACTCTCCCTTTCCCCTCAGCATGGCTGGCTCAGGAATTCTGGGAGTTGAAGTCCATGAGTCATAAAAGAGCCAAGGTTACCTGTCTCTGGCCTAGGCCTAGGCCGCTTTATAACTCGTGGACTTCAACTCCCAGAAATCCTGAGCCAGCATGGCTCAGCTTGGAAATCTCTCCCTTTCCCCTCAGTATGGCTGGCTCAGGAATTCTGGGAGTTGAAGTCCACGAGTTATAAAAGAGCCAAAGTTGCCTACCCTTGTACTAGAACAACTCTTTTGATCTTCTCCATCCTTTCAGATGTTTGAAGAAGGTTATTATATTCCCCCCCTTCCTCTTAAGACTCTAAATATACCCAATCCCTTAATGGAACATAGAATCATAACACTGGAAGGATCCTCAGAGGTCTTCTAGTCCAACCCCCTGCTCCAATCAGGAGATCTTATATCATCCCCGTCAAATGGTTGTCCACTCTATTTTTGAAAACCTCCAGTGATGGAGCACTGAATTTAATTTCCTGACTGAACATGAAAATAAATGAAAGGGCGATCATTCTCTTCCGAGTGAGGGTGATCTGGGTTTACCCTTTCCTTACAGAGAAAGAACCTTCTGGAATGAGTGTAGCCACAACTCACCTTGTCTTTGTTGGCCTTGATCTTCCGAGGAACAGGAATGTATGTGCTGTCAAAAAGAGAAATATAGTCTAGTCAGACAAAGCTTACTGCTTCTCACATTGGAATGAAAAAGCAATCTTAATTCTGAATTTAGTATCCCGACAAGACTGTTGCTTACAAATAGGGAATCTAATGGGACACAGGGCAAAAATCATCCTGCAGCCAAGAAGGCTCCACACAGATTTGCACTACTCAGGTGACCCTGAGGACACAGTTAAACCTCTAGGACAGTGTTTCTCAATCTTGACAATTTTAAAGCATGTGGACTTCAACTCCCAGAATTCCACAGCCAGCAATGCTGGCTGTGGAATTCTGGGAGTTGAAGTCCACATGCCTTAAAATTGTCAAGGTTGAGAAACATTGCTCTAGGAGGCCTCAACGACTCTCTAAAAGAATGCAAATGACCAGCTGCCTGCAAGGAGTAAAAATCCTTCCATTTCCCCCACCATCCAGTCAGAGCTGAAGAAGCTTCTTGGATGAGAAGCGAAACGTCTTCAAAGGAAAAACAAGCAAGTCCAGGTGCCTCATGAAAAAGCACCTTTGGGAGAACCCAATCAAAGGTAGAACATGAATTTGAAACATATAGGTAGCCCTTGATTTATGACTGCCACCGAACCCAGAATTATGACCATTAAGTTGTTGCTGTGGTTAAGCAAGGCACTCATGCAACCCATCGCTCCCCATTGCAATCACAATAGTAGTAGTAGTAATAAATAATAATAATAATAATAATAATAATAATAATAATAAAGTTGGAAGGGACCTTGGAGGTCATCTGGTCCAACCCCCTGCTCAGGCAGGAAACCCTATACCATTTCAGAAAAATGGCTGTGCAATCTCTTCTTAAAAACTTCCAGTGTTGGAGCATTCACAGCTTCTGGAGGCAGGTTGTTCCACTGGTTAATTGTTCTAACTGTCAGGAATTTCTCCTTAATTCTAGGTTGCTTCTCTCCTTGATTAGTTTCCAGGAGAGAAGCAACCTAGAACTAAGGAGAAACTTCCTGACAGTTAGAACAATTAACCAATGGAACAACCTGCCTCCAGAAGTGGTGAATGCTCCAACACTGGAAGTTTTTAAGTGAGTTTCGCTAAGTGACTTTTGCCCCATTTGATGTCCTTTCTTGCCACAACTGTGGAGTGACTCATCGCAGTTGTAGTAACATGGTTGTTCAATTAATCTGTCTTCTCCATGGACTTTGCTTGTCAGGAGGTTGCAAAAGCGGATCACGTGACTCTGGGACCACTGCACCCGTCGTAAGTATGAAGCAGCTGCCAAGGATCCAGATTTTGATCACATGACCAAGGGCTGCAACGGTTGTAAGTATGAAAAACGGTCATAAGTAACTTTTTTCAGTGCCGTTGTCTCTTTGAACGGTCACTAAATGAACTGTTGTAAGTCGAGGACTACCTGTATAATCAAGGATGGTTCCTGCCCTAATTTCCAGTTTAATTCCCTAATAGTTCCCATTCCAAAATACATGCAGCTCACTAGTATTCCTACCATTTGATTTATTCCTTTAGGAAAGTTGGCCACTGCACACTCCCTTAGTCATTCTGGCTAGATTACAAGACACAATAAAAAAAAACTATAAAAGTAGCAATAGACCCAACACTTATAAAGTACAAAAACTGCAGGCAGTAACACTAAAAGGCCTGGAAAAATATGTGAGTTCTGAGCCTTCTCATAAATTGTAATAAAGGAAAGATTTTGCTTCGATTTCTAGCAACTATTTATTGCATAATATAGATCCCCTCATTGGAAAAAGTCCAGTTGGTTGTTGATGTGAAAAATATCTCTGTTGGGACTGGTACACACAATGCAGTCTAAGCAATTTTTAAGATTAATTTACGAAAAATTGGCAATTTTTGTAGTTAGGACTTCCTGTTAACCTTTTTTTTTTTTTTTAGTATAGTAGATAGATAGTAGATCAAATCGGTTGACTGATAATAGATTTCTAGAACTGTGATATTTTTAATGTCAGATAGCAATTTTGCAAATATAGATGTATGTGTTTATAGATAGGGGTCCTGTTTTGCAAGAAAAAGGGAATAATTCCTGTTGCTGAAATATATTTATCAGTGTTCAACCAGAAGGGACATTTTCTGTGTATGCTTGATATTTTGTTTGTACACTTTTTATTTGTTTGTTTTTGTATTGTATTTTTAATAATAATAATAATAATAATAATAATAATAATAATAATAATAATAATAAAGTTGGAAGGGACCTTGGAGGTCATCTAGTCGAACTCCCTGCTCAGGCAGGAAACCCTATACCATTTCGGACAAATGGTTGTCCAGTCTCTTCTTAAAAACTTCCAGTGCTGGAGCATTTACCGCTTCTGGAGGCAGGCTGTTCCACTGGTTAATTGTTCTAACTGTCAGGAAATTCCTCCTTAATTCTAGGTTGCTTCTCTCCTTGATTAGTTTCCATCCATTGCTTTTTGTCCTGCCTTCAGGCATTTTGGAAAATAGCTCGACTTCCTCTTGTATGTGGCAGCCCCTGAGATACTGGAACACTGCTACCATGTCACCCCTCATCCTTCTCTTCATTAGACTAGATATACCCAATTCCAGCAACTGTTCCTTATGTTTTAGCCTCCAGTCCCCTAATCATCTTTGTTGCTCTCTTTTCTTTTTGTCTGTATTTTAACCTTGGAAATAAATAAAGTTTGATACGAATGAAGGCCAATATATACGTGTCCTAGGATAATGTTGCAGGATCAAATCTGGGTTGGTCACTGGGACCAGAGTTTTATCTTCTGACTCATGCTCCATCCTCAGGGAATCCCTCTAGCAGAGTGTGTGCTTTGGGCTATTTTGTGTGTGGTATTTATATGTTGCCTGGTTGGGTGTGACTAAAAAAGCCACATACAACCAGGCGCCATATAAATATCACACCCCGAATACCCAAAGCATGAATAGCACACAGCACGAATCCGAAAGCTCAAAAGACCTGGTGGCTGATCCAAATTGGATCCTGCAAAAAATTTACACAAACAAAGCAATAGGAAAAATTGCCAAAGAATGTTTATTAATGGATTTTTTAAATAAACAATAGATGAACAAACAATGATAGGAGAAGACATTATCTTTCCTTGTTTGGTCAAAAGACACGGACTTCGCCAATGATGAAAACTTTGCAACTTGTCACATCTTTCGTACATAACTTGCATCACTGTCCTGAAAACCAAGTTTTGGATCTTACAAAGAAGAAAAATTTTAAAACCTTCCGTTTACACAATTCAGATCACAAGATCCTTGTCCTGAAACGCCCTTTTGCTGAGTAGATGAAATACAAATTCCAATGCATATTAATATCCCCTTGTGCTCAATACAAAAGTGTTTCCTGGACAACAAGGAAGCACTACTGTGACTCCATTGTTCCCACCACGTTTGCGAGTGTGCTTATACATACGTGTGCTTTTAGTGTAAAATCTGTTAAGAAACATTTTTTCCCCAGTGTTGACATTAAGCTAACAGCAGTCCCAGCTTAGCCTCTTGGTGTTATAGAGAGTAGAAGATATTCGAGGGAAATGATAAGGAAAGAAAAATATTTTCATGCAATGCAGAACTTAAAGGAACTATGAGGATGGCCATTAATATAAAATAGCAGAAAAGAGGACCTTTCTTCATTTAATTTGATTAGATTAACAGTGTTCTCTCACCCAGAAGAGAATAATAAGAGAAGGCTGACTAGTTTTCCCTTGAAAATGTTCTGCTTTCGTAGCTCAGCTTCTAATTTTTGAGACACTTAAGAGTCCCAGAAGGCAGCAGTGATCATTTAGAGTAGAAGCTGTTGAGAAATTGTTAAGGTGTGTTTAACAAGCACCTGTCATACTGATAGAAGAGAATATTTGTAGCTCAGGGTTCAACTGTGGTATCCTTGGTGCTCTCTGAGCTTGGTGGTTTGCTGGCAGATGTTTCATTACCAAACTGCATAACATCATCAGTGCATAAGTAACATCAGCAACACCTCACCAGCAATCAACACCCAGATGGAACAGAGATTAACACCAAGATTAACACTAGACCAGGGGTTAGGCAACCTTGGCTCTTTTATGACTCGTGGGATTCTGGGAGGGTTTTTTTTTTATTGAAAGTTTTTGCAATTTTACAATAAAATCCCTCTCCTACTACCTCCCTACCCTCCCCAAAACCCTCCCCCCCTCTTCCCAGAGCTGAATACAGGGTTAGCTAGAACTAAAAATACAAAACATTTAAACTTAAGTAAACCTCAAACAAAAATTACATTAAAAAAAACAAATTTTTAAGTACTTTAAGTCCAATATATATATATAATAAAAATACTTATTATCTTAAACTTTAAACATAAATTATTCAAAAGCTAAATAATATCTTTTAATATCATACTTATACTGTATAAAAAGTTTATCCATCTTTTCCACACCAAGAGATATTTCTCTTGCGATTGATCTTTCAAATAAGCCGAAATTTTTGCCATTTCAGATAAATAAGAAACTTTTAAAAACCATTCCTCCAAGGTAGGCAAAAATTCGTTCTTCCAATATTGTCCTATCAACAACCTTGCCGCTGTAATTAAATTTAACATTAAAATAATTTCTTTATCATCACAGTCAACAATAATACCTAACAAAAACAATTGTGGGGTGAATTTTATCCTTCTCTTAAAAAATTTTTGAATATTCCACCATATCTTTATCCAAAAAGCTTTTATACTTTTATATGACCACCAAATATGATAGTATGGGATTCTGGGAGTTGAAGTTCCCGAGTCATAAAACAGCCAAGGTTGCCTAGCCCTGCACTAGATCAACAAGCAACAAGTAAATAATACACTAATTAAGGAACTACCAACTCAGACAAACAAGCTAGCAGGAAACAATAGCCTAATTAAGGAATCACCAAGAATATTCCCGTAGACACTGACAAGTCAAGCCACTTTTATATAAACAGAGATTAAACCACACTCTCTTCTAGCACAGAAGGTGTTACCTACTTTGATAATGAAATATCTGCAAGAAAACCACCAAGCTCAACGAGCAGCAAGGACCTCACCTTCCTACTATCTAAACAAAAGTTCCATTTGTTCAGTGAATTCTGTTCCATTTTACGATTTACGAATCATAGCAGTTGTTAAATTAGGAACCCGGTTGTTAAGTGAATCTGCCTTCCCGTTTGACTTATCTTGTCAGAAGGTCACAAAAGATGATCACATGACCCCGGGACACTGCAACCGTCATAAATATGAGTCGGTTGCCAAGAGTCTGAATTTTGATCTTGTGACCATAGAGATACTGCAACGGTCATAAATGTGAAAAACAGTCATAAGTCATATTTTTCAATACCGTTGTAACTTTGAACGGTCACTAACTGAACTGTTGTAAGTCAACGACTGCCTGTACAGGTAGACCTCGACGTATGACCACTATTGAGCCTAACATGTTTGTGGTTAAGTGAGACATTTGTTAAGTGAGTTTTGCTGCATTTTACAACCTTTCCTGCTACAGTTGTCAAGTGAATCCCTGCATTGGGTAAGTTAGTAACCTGGTTCTTAAGTGAATCTGGCTTCCCCCATTGACTTTGCTTGTCGGACGGTCACAAAAGGGGATCACATGATCCTGGAACAGAGCAACGGTTGTTAAGTATGAACCAGTTGCCAAGCATCTGAGTTTTGATCACGTGATCATGGGGATGCTGCAAAGGTTGCAACTGTGAAAAATGGTTGCGGGTCACTTTTTTTCAGTGCTGTTGTAACTCTGAACGATCACTAACCGAACTGCTATAAGTCAAGGACTACCTGTATTATATAGTAATTTTCCCAAAGTTTAGAACTCCCTACTTCGGCTTTCCAGCAATTTTAGAAACTTAGCAAGAGGGTTATTATTATTAATAATAATAATAATAATAATAATAATAATAATAATCAGCAACAGACAGTAAGTGCCGCCTATGCAAAGAAGGTGAAGAAACAGTGGACCACCTGGTAAGCTGTTGCAAGAAGATTGCACAGACTGACTACAAGCAGTGGCATGACAAAGTAACAACAATGGTGCATTGGAAGATCTGCAAAAAATATCATTTGCAAAAACTGGTAGGATCATAAAATAGAGAAAGTCATAGAAAATGATAAAATTAAACTGCTCTGGGACTTCAGAATTCAAACAGACAAGCACCTGCAACATAACACCCCAGACTTAACAATTGTCGATAAGAAAGACAAAAAAGTCTGGATAGTGGATGTTGCAGTGCCTGGAGACAGCAGAATAGAAGAGAAAGAACTGGAGAAGATAACAAAATACAAAGACCTACAAACAGAAATAGAAAGACTGTGGCAAAAGCAAGCAAGGGTAGTACCAATAGTCATAGGCTCCTTGGGTGCAATCCCAAAACAACTGGAGCACCACTTGAACACCATTGGCATTGACAAATTTGCTATTAGTCAATTGCAAAAGGCGGCCTTAATAGGAACTGCTTCCATCCTGCGACGATATCTGTAATACCATCAAACATCCACATCTGCCTATCCCAGGTCCTGGGTAAGGACTCGATAGGTAGACAAAATGCCAAATCCAGTCTGAACATCTGGCTGACTGTGCGATGATCAATAATAATAATAATTAAAAAAAAGTTGGAAGGGAGCTTTGAGGTCATCTAGTCCAACCCCCTGCTCAGGCAGGAAACCCTGTACCATTTCAGACAAATGGCTGTCTAATCTCTTAAAGACTTCCAGTGTTGGAGCATTCACAACTTCTGGAGGCAGGTTGTTCCACTGATTAATTCTTCTCACTGTTCAGGAAATTTCTCCTTAGTTCTAGGTTGCTTCTCTCCTTGATTAGTTTCCATCCGTTGCTTCTGTGGACTTGTACCGGGCCGCGGCATGCCAGCAACCGGTCCACACAAACAAGCAAAGCCCCATCTTTGGGATGCAGGCAGAACACAAACCACACACCCTCTGGTCCATTTCCCCCCCCAGACTTTCAGTATTGCCGTCTTACATCTGCGCTACCTGAGGAAAATACTCAACATGCAGAAGAATCTACTTACTGATCGATGGTGCCGTTTGTGAGAGCACTGATGACCCAGCGCAAGTCTAAGATTTTGAACGGGATGAGAATCATGTTGACCGTCTCCCCTAGTTCTCGATAGCTCTCCGGGTAGACAAAATGATGAGTTGTTTTGCTGCCGACGTCCAATTCGAAGCTCTTTATTGGGGCTTTGTTCATTCTTCATGCACAAAGGGGGTAAAAAAAATTGAGGAATGAGAAGAAGTATCACTCAACAACAAGAAGAACACTCATACTTTGGGTTTACTCCTTGACTTACGACCACAATTGAGCCCCAAAATTCTGTTGTTAAAACAGTTGTTAAATGATTTTTGCCCCGTTTTATGACAACAACAACAACAACAATAATAATGATGTTGGAAGGGACCTTGGAGGTCATCTAGTCCAACCCCCTGCTCAGGCAGGAAACCCTATACCATTTCAGACAAATGGCTGTCCAGTCTCTTCTTAAAGACTTCCAGGGTTGGAGCATTCACCACGTCTGGAGGCAGGTTATTCCTGTCAATGCTGCTAACATCGGATGTTCTTGCTTTGACCACATATGGAGATACAACCATTTTCCTTCTTATGTTTTACTCTTAGAATTAGAGTTAGAATTAGATCAGTGGTTCTCTACCTGTGGGTCGGGACCCCATTTGGGGTCGAATGACCATTTCATGGGGGTCGCCAAACCACGCAGTCTGTCATTTTTTTCCCCTTTTCCCTAGCTGTCCTACTCCCTCTTATTGGTGGCCACACCCACTTGGGGGTCACCACAACATGGGGAACTGTATTATGGGTCACGGCATTAGAAAGGTTGAGAACCACTGAATTAGATGATACTGGGGGGGGAGAGGAGGAGGAATGTGCATGGGAGTTTAGTTAGACATAACAATATTGTAACTAGTGTGAGAACCAAGGTTAATGAAATAAGAGATGATAAAGAATTGGCGGATTGGAGAACTGGAGGGAAAACCTGCATTTCAAACTAATTGGAGAATGTGATTTATGACAATGAGAGGAGGGAATTGTGCTTTGATACTATGTGCTGGGGGGGGGGAAATCCAGGTTTTGACTTCGATTGCCGATGCTATGCTTCTCTGAATAAAGATTCTTTAAGGTAAACAATGCCTCAAAGTTCTTTGAAGAGTTTCATCTGTCGGAACCATGACAGTTCCACTGATTAATTGTTCTACCTGTCAGGAAGTTTCTCCTTAGGTCTAGGTTGCTTCTCTCTTTGCCACAGTTGCCAAATGAACCATGGCTGTTGTCAGTCAAGTCATGGTGATTAAATGAATCTAGCCTCTGCATTGACTTGAATTGTCGGAAGATCGCAAAAGGTGATTGCGTGGCTCCCGGGATACTCCCAACTGTCATAAATATGGTTGAGTTGCCAAATGCTGCAAGGTTCATAAGTGTGGAAAATAGCCATACGTCACTTTTTTCAATGCCCTTGTAACTTTGAACGGTCACTAAACAAATGATTACAAGTCAAGGACAAGCGGTATATGCAACATCTCTTGATTTGAAAGACAGGGACGTGGCTCTTATTTGAAGCTGTGGTTAGAAAACATCGTTTCCTAGAGGCAGCTTGTAACTTGTTCAAATAAAACGAGAACAATAGTGGTTAAGCTATGACAAGAATATGACAAGGACAAGAAAAAGAATGTTCCTGGGGATTAGGCAAGTGATAAGTAAAGATTGAAGTTTGCTATTCGAACAGACCGTTTTTCTTGATTTATCTTGCATGCTGCATTTATCTGTCCAAATCCACTTGAGCAAGGCTAGATTTGGGAGATCTTTGCTGGTTTTTTTTTTTTTTTGAAATTTTGAAATAATTCAAAGGTATCCATGTTATTTTTTTATTTTTTATTCGCTTAATAATATAAAATACAAAAATACAAAAGCAAGTAGTGGGAAACAAGGGGGAGGGGAGGGGAAGGGAAAGAGAGAAATGTGGAAGGGGGGGGGGGAAAGGCATTTACTTCCAACTCACTTGCAGTTAGAATAAGGGAGGGGTCCCCAACCCCTGGTCTGTGGATCGGTACCAGGTTGTGGCATGCCAGCAACCGGTCCGCACAAACAAGCAAAGCCCCATCTGTGGGATGCAGGCAGCACACAAACCACGCACCTTCCGGTCCGTAGAAAAACCTTTCTCCACAGAACTGGTCCCTGGTGCCCAAAAGGTTGGGGACCTCTGGAATAAGGCATTAACATCAACTTTTTACTTTTCCATAATATTATAAACTAACTAGCTATTTCTATAATAGCAAATCTTTTACCCTTTATGGTGGACATGCGATAAAAGCAAAGAAATATTGGAGCAGGATTCGTATTCTAATACAGAAAATGCCTTAAAGTGAAATGTAAAAATAAGACCAGACACTTTTCTTTTGGGCTTCGTGGAAAAAGACTTGGGGGGAAAAAAATTGGAATTCTGATCTCATACAGGTTGACGGCAGCAAGAATACTCTTCGCCAGGGGTGTCAAACTCAATTTCATTGAAGGCCGCATCAGCATTGCGGTTGCCCTCAGGGAGCTGGGTGGGTGTGGCCAGGGTGGGTACAGCCTACTGGGTAGGCGTGGACGGAGTGGGTATGGCCTACTGGGTGGGCATGGCCAGCTCTATATCGTTCGCGTCAAGGGTGCCTGTGGGGGCCTGGGCAGGAGTGGGACAGATCTGAGGGTCTCTGGCAGAAGGGGGTGGGACCAGGGCACATGCCAAGGCATGGTCCACTGGAGTAGCCTCACTGTTCCTTTCAGGCCATGCGGGGTGGGGGGTTGGTGGTATGGGCCGCCCAGAGCATTGGCCAGCAGCCTGGCCTTGAGCACCTGCAGCACCAAGCCCAGCCCACTTCCTCAAGGTTCTCCTGGTTCCTCACTGTTTCCAGACGGCCTTGTGGAGCTAAGACTGAATGTGTTTCAGCATGGACGGCCACCACAAAATTGTACAATGGCTCCTGGCTGGCCTGGGCCAGGGCCAAGGCAGAGGGGGCCGTTCCCTCACTGTTTCCAGGATGGCTTCGTGGGCCATATGAAATCAGTTCGTGGGCCGCATCCGGCCCCCGGGCCTTGTGTTTGACATGTCTGCTCTACGCATAAAAACAGAAGGACATTTCGGTTCCCACCATGGATGAGTGGCTACAAAAGCTGATGGAGTTAGCAGAGATGGGGCTAAATTGACCGTTCTGATTAATGAAAAGAATATAACTGCTTTTGCTTCTACTTGGAAACCGTTTCTGGACTTTGTGCTTGAGGTAGGAAAAAAAATGAAATGTTGATTTTGAGATTTTTTTTTTTTTTAACATTTTGGCAGGGGTGGAGGGTTCCTATGGCCTAAAACAGGGGTCTTCAAACTTGGCCCTTGTATGACTTGTGGACTTCAACTCCCAGAATTCCTCAGCCAGCATGCCTGGCTGAGGAATTCTGGGAGTTGAAGTCCACAAGTCATAAAAGGGCGAAGTTTGAAGATCCCTGGCCTAAAAGAACTGGCAACAATTGGGTCAAAGAAGATTAAGTTATTTGTTTCTTGGATACCATTTGTCCATACCTGGCAGGGCATGAGCAGAAAAGGAGGATTGTTAAGAAGAAGAATGGGAAAGAGATGGAGGGCAACTGTATACAAGTGGGATTCTCTTCTGGTATGGCCTCTTCTGCTTCCTCCAATGGATGGCTGCCATGTGCAAAGAAGATCCCTCATCTTATTACTGCTTTCTGTGGATGGAGGCTACTTTCTCTTTAGGAGGGATTTTACTTGAACCCAGGGACTTGCAGCTACTTACC